GACGGAGTGAGTGAGCACATTGAACGCCCCCATAACCAGTGGGTGGGATATGGAACATAGATACAACAAGCACCCACAGCAGGAACGGTCGGACTTATCTGGACATGCACCGGTAACAAGCTTGAATGGTAAGCATTGGAGAGGTCGGGAGTCTTGCAGTGAAAGAATACTAAACTATGCGCAGGACATCGGACCGTGTACGGCAGCCACGTAGCAGTTGTAGTAGAGTCATAATTTGATTTCCGGACGGCCCCGCATATGGGTGCCTTGGCTAAGCAGCTTGGAGCGGAAGGTGCATCCACTACCGTCCACGTTATTCTGGGAATCGAGGTGTAGAAAAAGACTCATGAATGCCCTTGAGTCTACTGGGGGCGCAGCGTGGCGTTCATCAGTTCTATTGACATTCATAACTGGTAACAATGCAAGCTGATTTATTTCGGCTGCTCAGGAGGTAAAGAGAAATATAGAGGATCGTCCGAATATGCAAATATCTCGCGTCTCTATGTGCCATGTGATGCATGGTGGCCAATCTTACTAAATGCTTAGACCGTGGAATGATTTGGGACACTTGGTCAACATTCGTGACGATGCCGGAGTAAGCAGCTTAAGAGCACTATCAAGGTCGAGGCGTGTGACAGATGGTAGGTTTGGTTGGTTTGGTCTTATGCGTATTTATCTAAGTGGTGTGAAAAACTTGTGTGTGAAAACTCGTGTAAAAAACTTGTAAGTTCGAGATTTGGGTAGTTATGCAGTCACCCAACGGGTTATGTAAGCGGCATGGTAATAGCAAATTCAAATTTTTGCGTCCAATTCCATGATGTGGCCGTACGCACCTTTGGGTGAATTTCGTGAGAGAGGATTCAGTGGCATGCAGTTCTAGATTAAAGTTAATCCTGGTGGACTTTGTGGAACAAAAATATGTGTAGGAAATTATCACGTCAGTTGCTAAGACGTGTAAGCGGCGTTCGGTTAGAAAGTGAATGGAGGAGTTGAAAATGTAATGAGCAGTCATTCGGAGATGGGAGCGAACGGTGGTATAGAGTGAGGAGATGGTTTTGTACTCGATATTGGATGGTGCGCAGAAATGAGTGCGTAACTAATTCTGGGAGACAAACGAACTTAAGTGACTCGACGGTGCAAGAAAGACGGTATGCGTTTGAAAAAAGAGTAAGAGGTGTCTTTGTGTTGTCTTTTTCAAAGATGTGGTGCAGCGGCAGTCTTGAAATCAGAATATTGGTTCTGTAGAATCATCTGTGTTTGGAGCATCGTGCATTCTGCCTCGAGTTTATCCCAATTGGTTTACGCGTGCAGCAGCTTTTTTTATCGAACTGTTTGTTATGGATTATCGAGCGCAGGTTCCACGAAATATGTCAATAACAGGACAGATTTGGGCCGGTGGCAAAGGCGAAAAACGACGGTTTTTGTTTTTTGGCTTTCTGTACATGAAATCGAGCATTAGATTAAATGCCGNTGCTTGACCTTCTGGAAAGGTTGTGGACATAATATCAATTGGGTACAATATGTAAGAAGAGAACCTCCCTGCCGGGTATACCCAATCGCCGAAAGGGTGCAATAGCTATGTGCATACCACCAGATCTTTTACATCATTGACATGGAGCATTCTAACGCTTGTCTCACGATATCATATCTGGTCAGCTAAAAATACAAACCGGCATTACGACCCACCCAGATCAGGCACAGACACAACGGGCCAAATTTGTTCCTGCCACGCTATGAGCGCAGCTCCGGATACATATGCACGTTTCAATGGGTAGAATAAAAGTGACAGACGAGTCCAACGTCCTCGGGATTCAGTGCTGAAGTCGTATAAGCCCACCATATCCCATCATTTCGGCGTGCAACACGCTGTTGGTTTTGATTGGAACAAAGTGCCTCGTCAAATAGCGTCTAATTTATTCGCATTGCAGCATCTGAACATACAGGCACTTGAAAGGAGTTGACAGCTTTTCCTTCATCTGGATGTAGATTTGAAGTGGGGGAGAGGGGCGCAGCAGTAGAAGAAAAAAACAGGAAAACCGGTCACTAGGTGTAGGAATGTAATTAAATTAAATGCTGTCCAAAATCAGTACAATGGGAGGGGAACAATGGTGCACAAGATTTCGTCAAAGGTGATTTTACCTCGACTCATGGGATGCAGATCGGGAGGTAGTTAGGTAGCAAGTAGGACCAACCAAGTGTGAATGCACTTCCATTCCGCCGATCTAGATCCCGCCACCAAGTTCTTGATTATAGTGACGTTATTTCGGATTGTCCCGTGCAGTGACTAACTAATTTTCCTCGTGTTGGCCACACGGTATTATCCGATATGAGAAGTTATTGAACCGCAGCAAAGTAGGCGACTTCCCCTTCACTTTGCACAGAGCCAATGAATTCAACTACCCTGGGCATGTTGTGTTTTCGTTGAAAATGCTATCCTCGATCACAACTAAATCTGGTTTGTGGGTAACGTTACGGTATCTGCTTTCCCGGCTAATACCTCAGCAGCCGTCGGTTGCCATTTTTGTCCCTAATTCTTCACGATGAATGTAGCCTGCTTTATTAACAACAGTTCTATTGGCTTAGTGTCAAATGTTTCCCAGCCACGGCTTCTGATCATGTTATTCTGAGGTTTTTATGTATTACCTCTATACATTTCAGTGCCGTCTTACCGTGTTTGGTATTTATCGGAAAAAATAGCTGTTATCTGCTGGTCATGCTTCTCGGCACCATGGTCGTGGAGTAAAGTGCTGTCGTTTTCATTAAAAAATTAGGACTCCATCTAGCGTTTCCACCCTTTCGTCCATGGTGAGAGTTAAAACCCGTGACGACGTTAAAAGATCGGTTTTCTACCGAAATGGTTTTCACTGCAAGCCAGTGCTACAGCCGATACAATTTGAGTCTCATGCAAACGATCTTTTCTCTGGATTGCTCATCTTCCGCGCCATTATTGCACATTCCCCGGGTCATAAACACCCAATGTTTGGCCTTAACCAGTGGATTTACTGATAAATCTTGAGAGTTTTGAGGCACGTTCACGTGTTGAACCCTGACCATTCACCGTTCACCTTGTATATGGTTGCCCAGTTATCGGAACACTACACGGATGTGCTTTGAATTCTTTGTGACAGCGAATGGTAATTACATTAAGGTCCTAAGTGGGAGCAAATACTGCCATCTACATATGGATCCATCATAAAACCACTTGCACAACTATGCCTGAAACTCTATTACAGCATTCTTGCATCAAGCATCCAAACCAGTGAAAGCGTATTCGCTCAAAGTGTAGATGGAAAGTAGGGATTGATAACCGATTGAAGAGAATAACCCCATTTTTCGACTGGTCATGCCGAACGAGAGGTATTCACGCTGAAAACGTACGAATCTATTTCAACAAACTCTACTTGTGTTTAAAAGTATCGCCACGTCGCATTCTAACACCGCCGCGGTCTACAGCAGGAAGTGAACTTATATTGTTCAGCCTGAAACTCCACAACCTAACTAAGGACGGAGGATTGGCTTTTCCACTGACGGAACAACTAAGTGAAGCGTGTCGACTCTATTGTATTTTCCTCAATAACGGGCTGAGCGAATCGATGCATCGTGGGACTAAAAGGCAAGACAGTGTGTGTATTACCGAATCCTAAAATTATTTTAACCCGTGGCATCCAGGATGGCGGTTGTCAAACTTGGAAGAAGTACAATAAAGAGCTGAAATGTCCAAATATGCGATAATCCCAGTAGACCTAAGGTCCTGAAACAGCAAAACATGAATCTGCGCACCTAGTTGCACAAATTTGCCCAAAAACGTCCCGGAAAAGACACTGGTAGCATCAACCCTGACCTACGTCGTCTTAGAGGTACGTGATTTCCGGTGCAAAGGAACATTTAAGTTCTTGATCACTGAAGTTTTCAGGAACAAAGAAATCGATTAAAAACTGCAGCGTCGGAGTCGAACAGCTATTCCAAACTTGCGGCCCGGAACAAATAAAGAAACTTTCTATCGGGGCCCTGAGTCACCGAAACCGGCTCCAAAAATTTATGTTCCACAACACCCACGGTGATCACACCCCGGTTCTTATTCCGAGGTCCGCCAGAAGCTTGCTACCCTACCGACAACACGGTCACCGAGCTGGTCCACCATTACCGCCATCATTACGAAACCTTCATAATCATTAAAACCCTACTTACACCATTGAACCACAGGTTCACAGTGATCCCAACACTATTTAGTAAGTTTGGGCTCCACAAAAATCAAATGCATCTAACAGGGAGGAAAACCTTCGCAGCTAAGATGGCGTAGATAATCGTTGGCTTCTTTGCTGAGCTGGACAATTTGATTGCATGCAAGCAATATATATCTAAAGCTCTCCGGAGTTATGAACATGACGATATCTTGCGCTAAGACTTGGCACTTTACAAGCTTCAGAAATCCAGCTAACACAGACTGATATGTTCCTTGTTAAACCTTCACCACCGGATCCTCAGAAAATGTGCTGGTGTCCTTTATATTCTTCACCAGAACACTTTCACCAGTCATTCAGGGTTGATGTCACTCCTGCGTACCGTAAGCGGACCATTGTTCATGTATATATGGAGGTAAAAGCCTCTTTGATCCATGCAACTATCCACTTGCAAGTCTCATCAGTGTCTTCCACAAACAGTTGGTCAATTTGTGACTGGAGCAACTCAGCGGTCCACCCTGTGCGTAATTGATGTAGACTCACCTTTTAGCGCTTTCGTTCTACCAACGTAACTCTGGTGAACTCTGACCCCAAAATCGGCGATCCTTTGTTAGCCATCGTTTCTGAGGTTCCTATCTCTTTGGTTACCCTCCTAGATTCTGGTACGCGGCTCTGTTTCAGATGGCACCGATGGTCTCATCGAAGTTTTCCCGAGAGCTAATTGCATCAAAATTGACCCCTCTCTGCCCGAGCGTTCGGGGCCGCCTCAACGGACCATCTCTAAATCGGATGAAACGAACAATTAACCTAGTAGGTAGCCGTCGACTCTTGCATACATTGTGGTTGGAGCATCTGCCCCCAGTCAACAACAACGTGGGATTTCCTGTACCCGTCTGTTGCAGGTCTACACTCCCCTTCAGCGCAAACCCATAACGGCCTTGGTGGTTAGACTTTCGATGTCCACTTCCGGTCACCGTCGTGCCCCAAGATTCCACAAATGTCCCCTTTTTCTCCATCCCCGGCACCCACATTTCTCATTCTCTCAGCGACTTATTCTACCTCTCTAGCCTGTCCGGGTGCATTGCGATTGGGGATGGAGCTCCGAATTCTCTGATTCACCGCAATNCAGTGTCAAATTTTTCCCAGCCACGGCTTCTGATCATGTTATTCTGAGGTTTTTATGTATTACCTCTATACATTTCAGTGCCGTCTTACCGTGTTTGGTATTTATCGGAAAAAATAGCTGTTATCTGCTGGTCATGCTTCTCGGCACCATGGTCGTGGAGTAAAGTGCTGTCGTTTTCATTAAAAAATTAGGACTCCATCTAGCGTTTCCACCCTTTCGTCCATGGTGAGAGTTAAAACCCGTGACGACGTTAAAAGATCGGTTTTCTACCGAATTGGTTTTCACTGCAAGCCAGTGCTACAGCCGATACAATTTGAGTCTCATGCAAACGATCTTTTCTCTGGATTGCTCATCTTCCGCGCCATTATTGCACATTCCCCGGGTCATAAACACCCAACGTTTGGCCTTAACCAGTGGATTTACTGATAAATCTTGAGAGTTTTGAGGCACGTTCACGTGTTGAACCCTGACCATTCACCGTTCACCTTGTATATGGTTGCCCAGTTATCGGAACACTACACGGATGTGCTTTGAATTCTTTGTGACAGCGAATGGTAATTACATTAAGGTCCTAAGTGGGAGCAAATACTGCCATCTACATATGGATCCATCATAAAACCACTTGCCCAACTATGCCTGAAACTCTATTACAGCATTCTTGCATCAAGCATCCAAACCAGTGAAAGCGTATTCGCTCAAAGTGTAGATGGAAAGTAGGGATTGATAACCGATTGAAGAGAATAACCCCATTTTTCGACTGGTCATGCCGAACGAGAGGTATTCACGCTGAAAACGTACGAATCTATTTCAACAAACTCTACTTGTGTTTAAAAGTATCGCCACGTCGCATTCTAACACCGCCGCGGTCTACAGCAGGAAGTGAACTTATATTGTTCAGCCTGAAACTCCACAACCTAACTAAGGACGGAGGATTGGCTTTTCCACTGACGGAACAACTAAGTGAAGCGTGTCGACTCTATTGTATTTTCCTCAATAACGGGCTGAGCGAATCGATGCATCGTGGGACTAAAAGGCAAGACAGTGTGTGTATTACCGAATCCTAAAATTATTTTAACCCGTGGCATCCAGGATGGCGGTTGTCAGAATTGGAAGAAGTACAATAAAGAGCTGAAATGTCCAAATATGCGATAATCCCAGTAGACCTAAGGTCCTGAAACAGCAAAACATGAATCTGCGCACCTAGTTGCACAAATTTGCCCAAAAACGTCCCGGAAAAGACACTGGTAGCATCAACCCTGACCTACGTCGTCTTAGAGGTACGTGATTTCCGGTGCAAAGGAACATTTAAGTTCTTGATCACTGAAGTTTTCAGGAACAAAGAAATCGATTAAAAACTGCAGCGTCGGAGTCGAACAGCTATTCCAAACTTGCGGCCCGGAACAAATAAAGAAACTTTCTATCGGGGCCCTGAGTCACCGAAACCGGCTCCAAAAATTTATGTTCCACAACACCCACGGTGATCACACCCCGGTTCTTATTCCGAGGTCCGCCAGAAGCTTGCTACCCTACCGACAACACGGTCACCGAGCTGGTCCACCATTACCGCCATCATTACGAAACCTTCATAATCATTAAAACCCTACTTACACCATTGAACCACAGGTTCACAGTGATCCCAACACTATTTAGTAAGTTTGGGCTCCACAAAAATCAAATGCATCTAACAGGGAGGAAAACCTTCGCAGCTAAGATGGCGTAGATAATCGTTGGCTTCTTTGCTGAGCTGGACAATTTGATTGCATGCAAGCAATATATATCTAAAGCTCTCCGGAGTTATGAACATGACGATATCTTGCGCTAAGACTTGGCACTTTACAAGCTTCAGAAATCCAGCTAACACAGACTGATATGTTCCTTGTTAAACCTTCACCACCGGATCCTCAGAAAATGTGCTGGTGTCCTTTATATTCTTCACCAGAACACTTTCACCAGTCATTCAGGGTTGATGTCACTCCTGCGTACCGTAAGCGGACCATTGTTCATGTATATATGGAGGTAAAAGCCTCTTTGATCCATGCAACTATCCACTTGCAAGTCTCATCAGTGTCTTCCACAAACAGTTGGTCAATTTGTGACTGGAGCAACTCAGCGGTCCACCCTGTGCGTAATTGATGTAGACTCACCTTTTAGCGCTTTCGTTCTACCAACGTAACTCTGGTGAACTCTGACCCCAAAATCGGCGATCCTTTGTTAGCCATCGTTTCTGAGGTTCCTATCTCTTTGGTTACCCTCCTAGATTCTGGTACGCGGCTCTGTTTCAGATGGCACCGATGGTCTCATCGAAGTTTTCCCGAGAGCTAATTGCATCAAAATTGACCCCTCTCTGCCCGAGCGTTCGGGGCCGCCTCAACGGACCATCTCTAAATCGGATGAAACGAACAATTAACCTAGTAGGGAGCCGTCGACTCCTGCATACATTGTGGTTGGAGCATCTGCCCCCAGTCAACAACAACGTGGGATTTCCTGTACCCGCCTGTTGCAGGTCTACACTCCCCTTCAGCGCAAACCCATAACGGCCTTGGTGGTTAGACTTTCGATGTCCACTTCCGGTCACCGTCGTGCCCCAAGATTCCACAAATGTCCCCTTTTTCTCCATCCCCGGCACCCACATTTCTCATTCTCTCAGCGACTTATTCTACCTCTCTAGCCTGTCCGGGTGCATTGCGATTGGGGATGGAGCTCCGAATTCTCTGATTCACCGCAATCTCTGCTCACTTCCATTGTGCTGCGCACATCCCAAAATGTAGGATTCCTCGGTGGGTATTTATTACACACAAAAGAACACCTTGCATTTACTCAGCTTTGGAGGAATCCTTAGCCATCTAGAATGATAATAAACGCCGCCGTATCATGTTAAGCTTCTTAGAATTGCCCAGTCTAACCACTGCAGTGCCATCGACCTGAAAAGCAACATCCCACACATTGCACAAATAATCCCCCAGACTTGGCCTCCCCAAAAACATGTGTTGAGTGCCCAGTCTCCAAACTCAGTGAAAAAGTACTAGCAGCATATCACCCCCCTAAAATCTAATCGATCCAGACAGGCTTACCAGCTACACGGCTATTTTGAGCATACTTCTATATTGTGCCCTCCTCGGCATTTCATGTCCCGTTGTGAATACCACTGGCGAAGTACAGCAAAAAGAGGCTGCTTCTGAAGCTGTGGTGGACTCTTTGTAGTCTTGCGCAGAGCCCATCTGCCAATCCGCTTCCTGTATTCGCTATTTTAATGCATAGCTGGCTTGCGAACCCTTTCGGCCTATGAAAATTGCAGAAGACAGGGATCTCATAAAAAGAGCTCAAGAGTGCTTTCGGTTTGGCATTAGATGCAGGGTGAATAACATTCGGA